AGTTCACAGCAACAAAATACTTTGCATGCCACATGAGCAACAAAGCCTTCAAACCCAAGTCCCATCACAAGATCAAGAAAGAAGGCACAGAACGGAAAGCCTTGGTGTGACTCCTGCACTGAGGCATTTATTTGCCAAGGCATCTCTCCATAAAGACACGAGAACCATGTGCAGGGTGAAAGGATACAGGTTACCCAGAGTGCCACCCAGCGGGGGAACTAGCCACTGCAGGCAGCAGTGGCATCTAAGGTGGAATGGAGCAGCAGCTGGAAACAGCATGAAGCTCGAGATGGGGGACAGGGACACTGCCTGGGAAGGCAGATGAAGATGATGTGGATCATAATGTATCAGTGGCAGTTACTCTATTGCTGTGGAAGTGTATGGAGCATTGTACTCAGTAGACTTCAGGCAGTGCTTAGATATTTGTCAGACTTTCCAAGGAAATGATGTTCCTCAGTTCTGATCATGCCATTTCACTGTCCTGTCTGGTGTTTTTGAGAACTCCTATGTTTAGTTCAGAAGTCAGAGACTTCTATTCCATCTTTAAGGGCACTACACTCACCACACTGGCAAGTGGTCTGCACAGAGCAATAACTGAATTTTCTAATCATCACAATTCTGTGACTTTTGATCAAAAGAGCAGGTGTAGTAACTTAATAAAAGTTCTTCAGACAGTCGCAGAATATATTGGTGGATGACCAAGAACACTGTGTAAATATAAAACCAAGTTCTGGAAATGCAGAATGGAGATAGATTTATGTTTGATTTGTGAATTTTTACATCAATATTTTCACTGTTTTGTGGACAAATCAGTTACTTTGCTGAAGTGTTTCTTCATCCATTTTGGTTGCCCTGTTACCCCAGAAGCTGAAGTCTCACAAACTGAAGGCTGAGCAAACCCACAAAGTGGTGGTCTTGGGGCTGAGCTCTTAGGTTCCTGTGATTGAGGCAATGCCATGCCACCCCAGCTAAGATTTGTGGAGTGGTGCAGTGGTAAGAAGACGAGAAAAGGTTCTCAGGGACAAGGTTTTACATGTGTAAAACTTCCAAGGTTTTCCAGATTAAAATAATTCTTAATTGATTTTGAAGCTGGACTTTTATTTAGAATTGAAGTCAGAACAAGAACAGATACGTTTCTTCAGGTACATTACATAACTTCACAGAATGTCATCAAGTTTTTGGGCTCTCTGAGGCACACGATTTATCCATAAAGGAGATGCAATATGCTTATTTAATTGATTTTAAATCTGTTAAGTTTGTAAAAAAATAAACAATGTAGTAATCACAAATAAAACATCTATTTAATAAAGCATGCCCAATTTAGCAACATCTTAAAGGGGGTAGCTCAAGGTTAACCATGTAGACCTAAAATTATTAAAATCTCACTTTTGAAATATTTTCATTACCATTTTTTCATAAATTTCATCTGGCTTCCAATAACTGTCCACATTAGGAAGGTGTTGTGGGCTATGTCTCTCCCAAAATTCATAGATTGAACTTATGTTGAAGTCTTAAACTACGTGCCTTAAAATATGACTATATTTCGAGAAGGTCCTTTATATTAAAGAAGGTCATATAGGTGGGCCCTAATCCAATGTGACTGGTGTTCTTATAAGATTAGGACACAAATGTGCACAGAGCAGAGACCATGTGAAGGCACAGGGAGAAGACGGTCATCCACAAGCTAGACACATGCAGATTGGTACTCAACTGATACTGGAGGGAACCCTCTGCAGGTTTCTGGCACTGTGTGCACATCTTCCTCCCCTCCAGTGCTCTGCCTTGCAAATTCTGGCTGCCTTGGCTGCTAAACTCTGACTCTGTCTCACTGACTTCGTGAATTATTCAGGCTTCATTTTCATTTCCCCTCCCTGTACTGAGGCCTGGAATCTGCCCTTAGGCACTAAGCCGGTGTAATTGTAGAACTTACTGTTTCAGTTTCTCTTCTTAGGGATTACAGTCCTGTGTTGCCTGTTATGTAATGTCTGAAAAACCATTGTCTCAGATATCTTGTCTAGTTTAGGTAAGGCATGGGGTTAAACCTATTACTCGATCTTGGCTAAAAGCTGGTCTTGAATCTTCCAGATTGGAACCATTGCCAAAGGAAGTGGAGAACTCTATATTAGTAGTCAATTGGTAACCAGGTCAAATTTCTTAGTTTCTCTAGCTCATTTTTGTTGAAATTTGGCTAAAATGGTTGATGTTTGACTGTGGAAACATTTGAGAACACTTAGATAAAGGAAAGTCTGGGTGGAATGGATCCACGACATTAACCCTCGCAGATGAACACATTCACATCCCAGAATCTCAGACAATTCTGGTTCCATTTGCTTACACCCAAAATTAAGAGTTTTCTGCATTCAGGCCTATTTGTTTGGGTGATGTCAAGGGTGTTGTACACTTCCGGAGTTTCAGGTTAGGTGGACTGCCAACTTTCTCATTGAAATACTGGGACTAATCTTGGTGTGTAGCTTTTTAAAATCCATTTTGAATAAAATTGGAACAATTTAGCAAGCAATTAAAAACTAATTAAATCTTTGCATTGTTTTCATGGGAAGCATAATACATTAAAGTTGTGATTTTTTTTTTCTTTTAAGATGGAGTTTTGCTCTTGTTGCCCAGGCTGGAATTCAATGGCCCGATCTTCACTCACTGCAACCTCCACCTCCTGGGAGTCAAGGGAGTCTCCTGCCTCAGCCTCCCTAAGAGCTTGGATTATAGGCGCCTTGCCACCACATCCGGCTAACTTTTGTATTTTTAGTAGAAACGGGGTTTCACCATGTTGGCCAGGCTGGTCTCAAATTCCTAACCTTAGGTGATCTGCCCACCTCAGCCTTCCAAAGTGCTGGGATGACAGGCGTGAGCCACTGTCCCCAGCCTATGATATTTTTTTAAAAGACAGGGCCTCACTCTGTCACCCAGGTTGGTGTGCAATCGTAGCTCAATATAGCTTCTAACTCCTGAGTTCAAGCAATCCTCCTATTTCAACCTCCTGAGTAGCTGGATCCACAGATGTGTGCCACCATGCCTGCCTAATTTTTAAATTATTTTGGAGATGAGGTCTTGCTGTTTTGCCCTGACTGGTCTCAAACTCCTAGCCCCAAGTGATCTTCCCACTTCAGCCTCCCAAAGTGCTGGAATTATAAAAAAGAGCCACCAAACCCAGCCTAAAATTAGTGTTTAAGAAGCAGCTTACTAATGCCATTAATGCATGGAAAATAAGCATTGGAAATATGGCTGCCCAGAATTCTGCAAAGGTGACGGCCAAAGGCTATTTTGTCTAGCAAATTCAAGGCTGAGAAATTTTATGGGATTTCAACTAGTGTGATAATGCATGAGAGGATCATTTGCCTCATAAGAGATGTTTAAAATCAAGAAGTTCATAATCAATAGCTTAAAAACAAACTCTGATTTCTTGTACCCCATGCAATTCTGGAGAATAACTGGTTCTGGAGCAGGGGCAATGGGTGGGATAAAGTAAAACAACTCCTCTTTCTGCTTCTTTTGGAAGTCCTACCATCTATAGCACTTAACACAGGATCAGACAAAAAGTTCCCACAAATATTTAGATTCACTAGTTCATGGCAAACATCAAAATGGCTGCTCTTGTCCACATCAAGGAATCTGAGTATCCATCAACATATTTACTGGTGACTGGTACAAATAATAAACCTTGTAACAAAGAAATTTAAAATATCAGTGTTTTTAATCTTCATCAGGTGAAAAGGCAGAAAACTTTAAAAGTATACTCCCTAAAGCAGAATTTTTATAACAGCCAAAAGATGGAAACAACCCAAATATCCATCAATGGATGAACAGAGGAATAAATAAACTGTAGCATGTACATACAGTGGAATAGCACTAGGCCATAAAAGGAAATAAAGTACTGATCCCTGGCTATAGAATCAATGTAGGTTGCTACAACTTGGAAGAACCTCAAATATATTACACTAAGGAAAAGAAGCCAGATACAAAGAGGCACATATTGCATGATTCATTTATATGCTATATCAAGAATTGGCAAATCCATAGAGACAGAAAGTAGATTAGGTCCTTATTCACTTCTTGGTCTCCTCTGTTCCAACAGGCCTCCACAGGTTCCTCTGGGGCTTCCATTGTCCTGTGACATGCGGGTACTAGGAAATCTATTGGGAGATCATCCAGATATGGCAGAAACTGGGAAATTGAATAGTGGCCTTTGAGGATGTAACTGTAACTTCACCCTGGAGGGGTGAGCTTTGCTGGATTCTTTCCAAAAGGATCTCTATGGGGAGTGTGATGTGGGAAACTTTTAGAAACAGAGCTTCTACAGAAAACAAATGAGAAACCCAGAACACTAAAGATCAGTAGAAAAATTTTTCAAGAAGGCTGGGCATGGTGGTTCACACCTGTAATCCCAGCACTTTGGGAGGCAAAGGCAGGAGGATCACAAGTTCAGGAGTTCGAGACCAGTCTGGCCAACATGGTGAAACCCTGTCTCTCCTAAATATACGAAAATGAGCTAGGTGTGGTGGCAAGTGCCTGTAATCACAGCTACTCAGGAGGCTGAGGCAGGAGAATCACTTGAACCCAGGAGGCGGAGGTTGCAGTGAGCTAAGATCATGCCATTGCACTCCAGCCTGGGCAACAGAGGAAGATTCTGTCTGCGCCCCCCCCAAAAATTGGAGAAATCAAAAAAGTCATATGGTGGCAAGACTATGTGAAAGTAAAGAAGGTAGTTGGCATGGAGAAATGTTCAGCCAGATTCCAAATCTTAATTTGAACAAGAAAATTCCTACTGGAATAAAGCCGTGTAAAAACAGTGTGTGTAGAAACAGGTGCGTCTTCACCTGCCATTCTTCCCTTTGTGGGCACATCGTACCTAATTCTAGACACAAATCATGACTGTGAGGAAGGCAGAGAGAAGACATACACATGTAAACAATGTGGAAAAGCCTTCATTTCTCACCAGTGTTCAAGGACACATGATAACACACACTGGAGGCTCATATTATAAATGTTCAGTACGTGGAAAGCCTTTGATTTTCGCAATTTGTTGCAAATCCATCAGAGAACTCACACTGAAGAGAACCACTGTAAATGCAATCAATGTGGGAAGCTTTCAGTTTTTCCAGGTCCTGTCAAATATGTGAAAGAATTCACACTGGCAAAAGACCCTATAAATATAGGGAATGTAGGAAAAGATCTACTTTTCCTTTCTCTCTTAACTACATGAAAGTATTCACACTGGAGAAAAATTCTATAAGTGTAAGAAATGTGGCAAAGCCTTCAGATATTTCCATTCCCTTTATAACCATGAAAGATCTCATATTGTAGCAAAACCCTATCAATATAAGGAATGTGTTAAGGCTTTGCTTATTCCAGCCACCCTCATAATCATAATTAAACTCACTCTAGGGAGAAACTCTATGAATGTAATCAATGTGGTAAAGCCTTCAGATATTCCAGTTCCCTCCATAACCATAAAAGAATTCACACTAGTGTGAAACCATACAAATATAAGAAATGTGGTAAAGGCTTCACTCATTCTAGTCACCTGCATAATCATGAAACAACTCATACTGGAGAGAAACTCTATGAATGTAGGGAATATAGGAAAGCATTTGCCTTTCCATGTTCTCCTAGAAGACATTAAAGTATTCACACTGGAGGAAAACCCAGTGTGTGTAAGAAACGTGGTAAAGTATTCACTCTTCCTTGTTCCCTTTAACTACATGAAAGAACTCATACTGGCTGGTCATGGTGGCTCACACCTGTAATCCCAGCACTTTGGGAGGCCAAGGTAGGTGGATCACCTGAGGTCAGGAGTTCAAGACCAGCCTGGCCAACATGACAAAACCCCATCTCTATTGAAAAATACAAAAATTAGCCAGGCATGGTGGTATGCCCCTGTAGTCCCAGCCACTCAGGAGGCTGAAGCAGGAGGATTGCTTGAACCTAGGAGGCAGCGGTTGCAGTGAGCCAAGATCACACCATTGCATTCCAGCCCGGGTGACAGAGCGAGACTCTGTCTCAAGAGGGGAAAAAAAAGAACTCATACTATCAAGAAACCTTATAAAAGAAATGTAATCAAGCTCTCATCCTTAGATGTTTAGTTCCAGGAATTAACCAACACTCATAAAGCCTTTCTCAGTTGAGTTTCTGTCACTTATAACTGATAGAATTCTGGCAATGGAGTATAACACAACTATCAAAAGAATGTGGTAGATTTGTATGTACAGACATAATTATATATTAAAGGAAAATAGCAACAGCAACTTTCAGAGCATTATTACATTATGCCTTTTTTGTTGTTTTCAAAAGATATACATTTTTCTATTAATAGTGAGAACTGGAAAAAGAGGAGAATATTCATTTCAACATATATGACTTTAAAACATATATATAGGGTATTTTAAATCACAGAATAAAACAAAATGTTATAAAATTAAATGCTATGCATAAAATTTGCATCAAAGCCCAATTATCAAAATTTATCTCAACTTAATTTCCATAGAAGCCTGTGGAATGTATTTCCTAGAAAGGAATAAGAATAACAAACCACAGCAAACTGAATTACAAAGAAACGTGAGTGATACAGTTCTTACGAGCTCATCAGTGTTTTATATATAACTTTCTTCAATCTGCCTCTGAAAAGCAAAATCCAGAAAATGGTTATTTCACCATCCTTCTATTAATTCCAGAAAAGTGGAGCATATACACTTGAGACCTAATGATCTCTGGGCAGTTTTTAAGAAACTGAGGAAGGGAGATACTTCTAAAGAAGCTAAAATAAAATATTCAAATCAAGGTATAGAATTTTGCCACCTGCCATAAATTCAAGCTCACAATAAGGGTGAACCATAAAGACAGGATACACAGTTAATCAACACAGAAGGCTATCCTTTTTCCACATCAGTATTTTCATCTCAAATAACAAATCCATACCCTTCCAGGGCACTCCCTAGATTCCCTATACTATATCATTTGAAATTTTTAACGCTCCATGATTAAGGCAAAATGTACTACATATAACTTAAAGAAGAACAAAGTAAGCCTGCTTATTATAATGAATTGTGAATAAAAATTAATATAAGCTTAGATTTAAACTAAAATAGATATGAAATCTGAAAAACTTCATGTTATAAAAAGGAACAAGAAAGGTATTAACATTACTGATCTATCTATAAAATCTAAACCAAGACAAAGTAGAAATTCAATTGAAAAACCAATGTGATTTGGGAGGCTGAGGTGGGTGGATCACTTGAGGTCAGGAGTTTGAGACCAATCTGGGCAACATGATGAAACCCCATCTCTACTAAAAAATACAACAACAACAAAAAAGGCAGGTTCAATGGCTCACGACTGTAATCCCAACACGTTGGGAAGCCAAGATAGATGGATCACCTGAGGTCAGGAGTTTAAAAGCAGCCTGACCACATGGTGAAACCCTGTCTCTACTAAAAATACAAAAATTAACCTAGCATGGTGGTGGGTGCCTGTAATCCCAGCTACTTGGGAGGCTGAGGTATGAAAATCGCTTGAACCCAGGAGGCAGAGGTTGCAATGAGCTGAGATCATGACACTGCACTCCAGCCTGGGTGACAAAGCAAGACTCCATCTCAAAAAGAAAATAGGCCAGGCACGGTGGTTCACGACTGTAATCCCAGCACTTTGGGAGGCTGAGGTCAGGAGTTCAAGACCAGCTTGGCCAATATGGTGAAACCCCATCTCTACTAAAAGTACAAAAATCAGCCGGGCATGGTGGCAGGCACCTGTAATCCCAGCTACTCAGGAGGCTGAGGCAGGAGAATAACTTGAACCCAGGAGGTAGGGGTTGTAGTGAGCTGAGACCGCGCCATTGCGCTCCAGCCTGGGTGACAAGAGTGAAACTCCATCTAAAAAAATAATAATAATAAAATAAAAGTAGCTGAGCATGGTGGCAGGCACCTGTAATCCCAGCTACTGGGGAGGCTGAGGCAGGAGAATTGCTTGACTTCAGGAGATGGAGGTTGCAATGAGCCAAGGTAGCGCCACTGCACTCCACCCTGGGTGACAGAGCAAGGCTCCATCTCAAAAAAAAAAGGTAATTTTTTGTTTAAGTTGAATAAATGGCTTTTATTTTAAGGTGTCACATCTAGAGGCAAAACTTTTAAAAAAGAATGCAAGATTTTAGTATCAACATTTGGCTGAAACTGATGCAGAAATGAACATTAATTTTTAAACCTCTTTTCAACAAGATTTTTAAAAAGTAAAAATACCTTTCAATGATGAAACAATAAGTCTAACATAAAGCCTACATTTAGTAGCATCAAAAAATACGTATTATTTTTTACTCAAATTTAAGAAACAAACATAACCACACTTAATGGGGAAAATGTAATACTCTTTCTAGCATGAAAACAGATATCAACATATTGTGTGTTCTTCAATGGATCACATGTGCTACACCAACATGATGGCCCATAGTGGGTTTGAAAAGATATAACAGGATTCAATTGTGTTATTTCATCACTATAATTTTAATCATTAGGCATATTAATGTCACATACAGTTTTAAAATATAAATATTTTTAGAAGCTGTGTTTCACAACATGATACCAAGAACACACATCTGATACAGGTTTGTTTTTAAGCTATTGATTATGAACCTCTTGATTTCAAAAATCTCTTATGTGTCAGAACTATAATCAGAATACTGTAACAGTAAGAGAAAAATACTTTTTTGAGACAGGGTCTCGCTCTGTCACCCAGACAGGAATGTGGTGGTGCAATCACAGCTCACTGCAGCCTCAGCCTCCTGAGTAGCTGGGACTACATGCATGCACCACCACACCTGGCTAATTTTTTTAAAATTTATTTTTAGAAGAGATGGGGTCTCACTATGTTGCCCAGGCTGGTCTCAAATGCCTGGGCTCAAGTGATCCTCCTGCCTCACCCTCCCAAAGTGCTGAGGTTACAAGTGTGAGCCACTGCCCAGCCTGAAAGATACCTTCTTTTAATCATTCACAATCAGCAGTAGTGAAAATGCTCTATGTACAACATCAGCTCTGAATAACACATTTCATTTCTGTTTCAAACCACCTGACTATCGCTGTTTTGATGACTGCATAGCTCAACAAAAAAATGCACCCTATTGAGTCTCAATGATACGTATGATTAGGCAGATAACTTCCCAATCATAAAAGCTTTTATTTTAAGACAAATACAGCATGGAAATCCAACACTATAACTGGGATGAAAAGACAGCTCTAAGAAGGCTGTGCATGTGACACCTACTGCATGTTTATGTACTAGTCCTGCATTCCCTTCCTTTCTTCCGCCTCTTTGAAATGCTAAAGGGTAATTACACTAAAAAGGGTAATTACCCTTAATATGAGAGAACTATGTGTTTAAGAATGCAAGACTTTCAGATAAGAAATCTCCAAATATTTTCTATTTTATATGTGTTTATGATCTTTCTTATAAAGAGGGAGTGTTTTGTGTGCAACGCCTGCAAATGGAACTAAATCTACCTTTCACTCAAGCCCAAATAATCAAATATACAATACAGACATAAAGCAAACTACAATGGCAGCAGTGATTCTTAGGGCAGCATGTGCAAAATCGAGTATTTTGCTATCTACTTACATTATGGTGGTCAGAAAAGAAATGTTCCAAAACTACCTTTCCCATTCCACTTGAACTGGTTCCCCACAATCCCAACAAACATCTCCTGTGACATTAAGTTGTCATCAGCCTGTGTGATCCCCAGTTCACTCAACCTTTTCTTTTTTCTTTTGGTTTTTTTTTTTGGGGGGGGCATTTGTTTCTTTTCCATTTTACAATTTCCCTCAACTTGCTCAGAAGGGTCAGTTCTTGCATAAAGCTCCATTTTGCCAGTTGCACACTGAATCAGCTCTTCTAGATCCACTCTTTCAGCCACATCTGGCTCTCCACTTGCCTGAATTTTAAGTGCTTTATCTTCTGGAGAAACGAACAAATAATAACAAAGTTACATATATAAGCTAACCCAACTAAAACATGTATTTCTACACCGTCTGTTAGAGCTTTCAAGTTTTTTTGGCAAAGGATTTCTGCTGTCCTCTAACTGGGCTTTACAGATTTGTTCCCATAAGAATCTCAATGAACAGCTGCCTTGCATTCTATGTCAAGGTTCCCTGACCCTCATGCAGGATCATCAATTTTGAACTCTTTGTTTACCCTTTTCATTCCAGAATCACTTTTACTCAACAGACATTTCCTGGTTATTTACTATCTGCTAAGCACTGTGTTAGGAGCTAGGATGCACAGACTGATAAGACAGTGCAACTTTTCTAAATGAAGTCCCAATCTAGTAGCTGATTCTAGATAGTCCCCATGATCACCACCCCCTGGTATTAACTTTATTGGCTATTAAATGGCAGAAGAATTTTGCACTGTAATTTTACAAAGTAATTAAGGTTGCTAATTAGTTTTCTCCAGCTGGTTGCAAAAGAGGAAGTCAGAGAAATTCAAAGCATGAGAGATTTGCCTTGAGGGAGGTTCTCTGTTGCTGAGATGGGGGGCTATGAGGCAAGAACCTGAGAGCAGCCTCTAGGAGCTGAGTGCCAGCCCCAGCCAGCAGCCAGCAGCCAGCAAGAAAGGAGACCTCAGACCCAGGAGCTAAAGGAATGAATTCTGCCAATGAATGACATGAATGCATTTGGAGGCAGATTCTGCTCCCAGAGCTTTCAGATGAGACCTGCCCAGCTGACACCTTGATTTCACTTTTGTGAGACCTGTGAAGAAACAGAAACCTTGCAGAGATATAACCGGAGAGAATCCTGAAGGATGACAAGGACTAACTTTTAAACTCCTCTTTCAACCTGAAAAAGCCAATTAAATAAATAAACTGCTTTAAACTTTCCTCACCTACGTCAATGCTTAATCCTCCACTATGACTGAGACTTAATAGTGATCCACCTCATAGCTTGAAGTTCACACATTTCCACTGAGTTAGCTCCGCTTTGCTGCCAAGAAAGGCAGGTGACAGGAAGACATTTACTTCTACCAATAAAAACAGAGGTAAACTCCACCATCCCCTCCAGGAAACGCAGCTTTCAACCTGGCACGTTCATTTCATTGCCTCCAGCCTTAACAAATGCCAGCAGGAGCCACTATTGCTATTACACACCCACTGTTGCTGTCACACACCCACCATAGCGTCACGCACCCATGGTTGCTATCACACACCCATAGCTCCTATCACACATCCACCCTCATTGAAGGCTAAGCATGATAAGAAGGAAACTGCACAGAAGATACAACATCAAGATTTTGAATGACAATTGAACTAGTTGACCGTGAAAGTTTCTTTCACATTCTATAATGTTATGGCTTTATGAAGCTTCTCTCTCTCTCCACTCCGAAGCATATCCCCAATAATCTTTTTTACGGAAGAGAGGAAGACTCAGAGACTTAATCAGCATTTAATGCTAAAATAAAGTAAATTATGTTTTTATATTAAAAAATTACTATCAGTGCAGTGGTAAAGGAGTAAAAAAAAGAAAGAAGGAAAGAAAAATTACTAAATATAGCATACCTTCTGTTCCATCTTCAGCATTTTCTTGCAGATCAGAGAAGATTGTAGGTTTCGCCAAGACACCACCATAACCTTCATTATTATGTATTATATTATTCACCGTGGATATTTTGGGAATGTCATAATGTTCATCTAAGAAGTCCTTTGACATTGAAAAGAAATGTTTTAAGAAACTGTCATACTAAACATTTCCTGCTTTAAAAATCTTTATTCACACTACTCTAAAAATAAAGCTATGCTTAGTCCCGTGTTGTGGCAGTCTGAGTCCTTAGTGACAGAGCTTTCCTCTATAATTTCTGCAGATCTATGGGTAACAAAGCATTCTCACAAGAGATTGCAATCACTGACATTATTGAAATGTATATACTGTTTATGCTTTTCAAAACCAGAAAATAGAACCCAACAATTTAATAAGGTATAATTTGTAGGTGAAGCCATTCTGTCCTTTGAAAAAAGGGTTTTTTGGCCGATGCTCACCTTAATGAGGATCCCTTCCTTGCAGTGATGGATCCCATTGTCACTCAGGGTGCACTGACTCCCAGGGTAGATTTCTATACCAGCACCCTGTGAGTTATAGTTTGAGATAATGCCAATCAGTTTTTAAAAGGCAAGACTAAAAAAGTTTATTACAATTACTTCTTAGCTTTCAACACAGTGCAAAAGTACAGCAAAAAGATAAAGTATTTTACAGATAAGTTTTATCAGGCATTTTTAATCAACATTTCCATTTGTTCCATCTCTAGCAAGTTGTTGACAATTTATCACTTTCAAAACCACACACACACACACACACACACACACACACAGGCTAAGAGTGTCGACACCTGATTATTGTTCTACTGTCTTTTATTCTAGATGTTTTCTGATTTTGCCAACAAGAAAAAAATCATTTAAGAATTCTGTTGAAAGACACACTTATTCAAAATGACCATCTCTCAGACACTCAATTAGTTGGAGAAAAGTACTTGAATTTAGTAAAATATTGTAATTTGTGGATAGAAACAAGACCCTACACTTTCCAAAATGTGCCAGTTTTAAAATACCCTAACCCAACTTAAAAATCACTTCTATGAGTTACACAATGGCCTCCTCCACCACACACGTTAACATAAGCAGCCAGTTCACGTGTCGTTTAAACAGTGTAACCAGAAAGATCAAACATGACCCTATTCTCTCACACCTCATGGCATCAAAAAAAGTAACAGTAATAAGAATTTATTTCCTAATGCTTATGCAAGGAACTTTGGAAAACAAAAGTAATTCACTCAAACCTCTATAGTTATTTCAGCAACCATTTGGGAATAATTTAACACACAACAGCATCAATGAAGAAGAGCTGCTATAACCACTGATGACACATCTACTGCATGTATGTTCAGTTACTTTTATAGTACTAATATTCCATGAGAAAACATTTATTATTACCTAACCCTGGACATATGTCTGAACCATATGTACACACCAATCTAACTCTTCGGTAGAGGTTTGTTTTTGTTTTTGTTTTTCAATGAAATGAGAAAAATTAAGTGTAACATATATTTGGGACTGTTCATGGTTTATGTTTGTCATAGAGTTAATTTTAACAAATTTTTTTGTAAGCAAAAAATCTTTTTTTTTTATTGTGCTTGGGCTCTGGGGTACATGTGCATGTCCTGCACCCTGCAGGATTGTTGCATAGCTACATACATGCCATGGTGGTTTGCTGTCTCCATCCCACCCCCACTGTTGCCTAAATCAGGCATTTCTCCAGGTGTTATCCCTCCCCCTCCTCCCCACCCCCGCCTCGACATTTTTCAAAATGTGCTAATTGGGCCCTCTTCTAAGAGATTTTCAGTTGCAGTTGTGTGCAAAAAAGATTTAAGGGTGATTACATTAAAAAATACCTATAGCAAGATAGTTAAAATTAAATATCAAACTATCAGGAAACATATAAAATTTGCAAAGGTGAACAATTTAAACCAGCAGTCAGGTAGCAAATAAAAGTCATATTTGGCCTGGCACGGTGGCCCACGCCTGTAAACCCAGCACTTTGGGAGGCCAAGGCAAGAGGATCGTTTTAGGTTAGGAGTTCAAGACCAGCCTGGCCAACATGGTGAAACCCCATCTCTACGAAAAATACAAAAATTGGCCAGGCATGGTGGCACGTGCCTGTAGTCCTTGCTACTCGGGAGGCTGAGGCAGGATAATTGCTTGAACCCAGGAGGCAGAGGCTGCAGCGAGCTGAGATCGCACCACTGCACTCCAGCCTGGGCAACAAAATGAGACTCAGTCTCAAAAAAAGAAAGCGGTATTCAAAATATATTATGAAAATGAACAACAATTTGGCAATTAAAAAGTAACTGAGGAGCCTGCCACTTCTGGGATGATAGAGTAGATGTCCCTGTTTCGTCTATTAGGCATGACCAAAAACCACGGGCATTATATATAAAACAAGCATAAGACCGATAAGTGGAGAGAAGACGTCAGACCAACGAGGGACCTCAGGACCCAAAAAACACCAACACAGTGGTACATTCCTTTCTTTTTGCTTCATAATCCCTAGACTTGGAACTGAAGAAGCCAGCAGTCCAGTTCAGCAACAGACCCACACCAAAAAGAGCTGCTCTTACAAAAGGACTAGGCAACCTAGAAAGACAGAAAACTTTTTGACAATAATAGCTCTAATCCAGGTAAACGCCACAGAATAAAACAGCAGCTCCAATCTCACCCATGCCAGCAAAGGTCAAGAGAAGAACCTAGACTTCCGCCCCCTCAAGGATGTAACCAGGTACCCCAGCACCTCGACTGGGGCAGTACCAGAGAAGACCAAGCAAGGAGCCAGGATTTGCATTCCCACCCACCAGTTGCAAGGCCCTCCCTGCAGCAGTGTTAGTGAAGACTACATGAGGAGCCTGGATTTGTACCCCCACCTGGCAGTATCAAGACAACCACTCCTTCCCTACTGGGGCAGTGTCAGAGCAGGCCTAGTGGAGATTCTACACTTTCACCAGTGCCCAGTGGTAACAAGACCACTCCATACATCACAGTGTCAGTGGAGACCATGTAGGAAGCTAGGCCTCCCATCCCTACATAGCAGTAACAAGGAGCTCTCCCATCTAACTTGGGTATGAATGGAAGCCAAGTGACAACCATCACTTCTACCTCCACCAGTAACAAGATGATGCCCAGCTACCACCAACACTGTCCCTTCCTGTAGAAGTATCAGAGAAGCCCAATTAAAATACAAGATTCAGATTCTTGTAATACAAAAATATCTAACTTTCATTTGAAAATCCCTTGTCATACCAAGAATCAGGAAGATGTCAAAATAAATGAGATAATCAACAGATGCCAAAACCAAGATGTCAGAGATGATAGAATTAACGGACAGTGATTTTAAAGCAGCCATGATAAAAATGCTTCAATAAGCAATTATGAATGTACTTAAATGAAAAATGAAAGCCTCACCAAAGAAGTAGATGATATAAAAAACCAAGTAGAAATATTAGAACTGAAAAATACAATAACTAAAATAGAAAGTTCAGTGGATGGGCTCAACAGCAGAATGAAAATAGCAGAGGAAAGAATCAGGGAACTAACTGGAAGATAGAACAATAAAATTTACCCAATAGCAGAGAAAACATACTGAAAAAGAAAAGAGAACAGAGCTCCAGGGATCTGCTGGACTATAACAAAAGATCCAATATTCATGTCATCAGAGTCCTGAAAGAGAAGAGAGAGAGAGTGTGGCTAAAAACATACTTGAAGAAATAATGACTAAAATCTCCCAAATTTGTCAGGATTTGGATAACAAGCCTACAGGTTCAAGTAGCTGAGCAAACCCCAAACAAAATAAACTCAAAGAAGTCCATGCCAAAATATATCATAATCAAACTAGTATAAGCTAAAAACAAAAATATTGAAAGCATCAATGAAAATTTCATGCCTTACCTATAGGAAAGAAAATGTGATTGACAGCATCAGAAATCATGGATGCCAGATGAAAGAGACACAGTATTGTTCAAGGGCTAAAAGAAAAAAACCGTCAATCCAGAATCCTAAACCCAGTGAAAACAGTCTCCAGGAATGTAGAGGAAATCAAGATATTCTAAGATGATGGGAAACTAAGAAAATTTGTCACCAGCAGAC